TATTCTACATTCTTGTGAATATTTGTTGTTATCAGTCTTTTAAAAAATATTTTGTATAGCAATTCCTTAATGACTAATGAGGATTACCATTTTTTATTGTGCTTATTTGCCATTCCTATATCTTTTGTGAAAAGCCTTTCAAGTTAATTTCTTTTAATTTTCCATTTGGTTGGTATTTTTTCTATTAATTTTTGCAAGTGTTTTATATGTTCTAGATATGAGCCCTTTGTCAGCTACTTACTGTAAGTATTTTCTTCTAATCCTTAGATTGCTTATATATTTTAACATGTTTTAAAATAAATATGTCAAGTATTTTATTTATCATATTAATGAGGTAACTGGTTAGAATTTTTAACTAGTTCATGTGAGATTTTGAATTACACTAATTCTGCAGGGTATTGGTTTCAGCATTCCTTGTGGATTCCAGAATCCATGGATGCTCAAGTTCACTGTATAAAATGGTGTAGTATTTGTGTATAATCTGCATGCATGCTTCCATATATGTTAAATCATATTTACATTACTTATATCTAATACAATGTAGATGCTATATAAATAGTTGCTATACTATATTTTTAAATAACATACTTATTATTTTTATGGTTAGATAATTTGTTACTTAAAAAAATTTTCCATCTGCAGTTGGTTGAATCCACTGATGTGGAACCTACAGTTACAGAGGACCAATTGTGTAGAAGTTTATATTCTCTACTGAATGAAATTTATTATCATGGTTATGAACAGAGATCATTTTATTGCTAGGAATTATTTTAAAGGCTATCAGTTTTCTACACATTAATCACTACCTCTATGGAGTTATATAATTGCCCAGTCAAAAGATAAGCGTTTCATGCCCTTGTAGAGTCAGATAATTTTTAGGGGTCTACTAGGCAATGCCTAGTGCTCCATTAAAATAATCCCTAGCATACTCTTTGGTCTATTTTCAAGTCTTGAACCCTTTTTTCCAGCAGTGTTTCCCTCTCTAATGACCTGTGACTATAAATAATCTTTAAATATTATTATTTTTCCCTTTTATTCTTAGTTGACACGTAATAATTATACCTATTTGTGGGATTAAAAGTGAAATTTTCATACTTTTATACATTGTGTAATTATCAAAGAGGGTAATTAGCATATTCAACACCTCAAACTACTATTTCTTGGTGTTGTGAACATTCAGAATCCTCTCAATTTAGGTTTTTGAAAATATGAAATAAATTATTATTAACCATAGTTACTCTACAGTGCTCCAGAGCACCAGAGCTCATATTTTTAATTTTGCTGTAATTTTATCTTTTAAACAACCTCTCCCATTCTCTCCTCCTCCTTACCCTTCCCAGCCTCTAATACTTAGTTGTACTCTATACTTCCATTGGCTCAAAACAGTTTTCTTATTTTCACATATGAATGAGAACATGTGGTCTTTATCTCTCTTTGCCTGATGTACTTTACTTAACATAATGTTAATCAGGCTTACCTATGTTGCCACACATGACAGGATTTTATTATTTTTTTATGGCTGAACAGCATTCCATTGTGTATATATACCACACTTGGTTTATCCATTCATCCATCGATGGACAGTTACGGGGAGTCAGTATCTTAGCTATTATGAATATTAAGTAAACATGGGGTTGCAGGTATCCCTTTGATATGCTGATTTATTTTCCTTTGAAATACCTAGAAGTGGATTGCTGGATCATCTGGAAATTCTATTTTCAGTTTTTTGAGAAACTACCATACTGTTTTCCATAATGCTGTATAAATTTACATTTCCACCAACAGTATATGAGTTCCATTTTCTAGGCATTGTCACTGGCATTTGTTATTTTCTTTTTGTTAATAGCTATTCTAACTAGAGTGAGATAATATTGAGCCTGGAAGACATTATGTTAAGCAAAGTATGTCAGGCACAGAGAGGTAAATACCACATATTCTCATATGTGAAAACAAGAAAACTATTGATTTGCATTTTCCTGAAAATGATGTTAAGTCTTTTCTTTAATGTTTGTTGGACATTTGTATGTTTTCTTTTGGGAAATGTTTATTCAGTTTTTGGCCTACTTTTTAAAATGGCTTTTTACTATTTTGCTATTGAATTGTTTGGTTTCCTTGTATATTCTACACATTAGTCCCTTGTCAGATGAATACTTGCAATATTTATTCTCATTATATAAATGGTCTTTTCGTTCTATTGATTGTTTCTTTTGTTGTGCAGAAGATTTTCAGTTTAATACAGTCCTATTTGACTATTTTTGTTTTTGTTGTCTGTACTTTTAAAGTCTCAGGCATAAAATCTTTGCCTAATGTCCTGAGGTATTTCTTCTGTTTTCTTCCAGTAATTTCATAGTTTTTGGCTTTGTGTTCAAGTCTTTAATCTATTTCTAGTCTATTTCTGCACGTATTGAAAGATACGGATCTAGTTTCCTCTGCATATGGATATCCCGTTTTCCCAGTACCATTTATTAAAGAAAATACCCTTTCCTCAGTGTCTGTTCTTGGCTCCTTTGTTAAAAATCAGTTGGCTGTAAACATGCGGATTTATTTCTGGGTTCTTTATTCTGTTCCATTGTTCTGTATGTCTATTTTAATACCAATACCACGCTATTCTGGTTCAGCTTTTTTGTCTTGCTCAGTATTGCTTTCACTATTCAGAGTCCTTTGAGGTACCACACAAATTTTAGGATTGTTCTTTCTACTACTGTGAAGAATGTCATTGATATTTTGATAAGGATTGCGCTCAATCTGAACACTACTTTAGACAATATGGTCATTTTAACAATATGCTTCCAATCCATGAGCATAGGATATCTTTTTGTTTGTGTTCTCATTTTTTTTCATGAGTGTTTTGTAGTTTCCATTGTAGAGGTCCTTCATCTCTTGGCCAAATTTATTTTTAGGTATTTTGGGTAGCTATTGTAAATATGATTGTTTTCTTAATTTCTTTTTCAGTTGATTACTGGTGTATAAAAATGCTACTGATTTTTGCACATTGATTTTTATTTTGTATTCTGCAACTTTATTGAATTTGTTTATCAGTTCTGAGAGGGTTTTGGCAAAAGTCTCTAGGCTTGTCTATATATAAGATCATGTTGTTTGCAAAGAGGGATAATATAGCTTCTTCTTTTCAATTTGGATGCCTTTTATTTCTTTATCTTGACTAATTGTTAGGCTGCAACTTCCAGTACTATATTAAGTAAGAGTGGTAAAGTGGGCATCTTTGCCGTGTTCAAGTTCTCAGATCAAAGACTTTCAGCTTTTCTCCTTGTCTTATATGGCTCTTATTATGTGGACATATGTTCCTTCCAAGCCTAAATTGTTGAGAGTTTTTATTATTAAGAGATGTTGAACTTTGTCACATTCCTTTTTTGCATCTGTTGAGATGATTATACGGGTTTTGTTCATCATTCTATCGAAGTGATGTATCACAATTATTTATTTATATATGCTGAACTGTCCTTGCATACCTGGGATAAATCCCTTACATATAATTCTTTTAATATGCTATTAATTTGGTTTGCTAGTATTTTGATGAGGATATTTGCATCTATATACATTAGGGATATTGGTCTGTAGTTTTCTCTTTTCCGTTTTGTTCCTATCTGGTTTTGGTATCATGGTAATGCTGGCCTTGCAGAATCAGTTAGGAAGAACTCTCTTCTCTTCAATTTTCGGAATAGTATGAGAATTGGTGTTCTTTAAAAGTCCAGTAGAATTCAATAGTAAAGCCATCTAATCCTGAGCTTTTCTTTGTTGGGAGACTTTCTATTGCACATTCAGTCTTGTTACTCCTTACTAATCTGTTCAGGGTTTCTGTTTCTTCCTGGTTCAATATTCGGAAATTGTACATGTCCAGAAATTTATCCATTCCTTCCCCAAGTTTTTCAATATTTAGCTTGCAGTTGTTTGTAGTAGTCTTTAATGATCTTTTAAATTTCCATATTACCAGTTGTAATGTCTCCTTTTTTATTTTACTTGTTTGGATTCTCTCTCTTTTTTCTTGGTTAATCTAGCTAGTGGTTTATTAATTTTGTCTATCTTTTGAAAATGTAACTTTTCATTTTGTTAATTATTTGTATTGTATTTTTTGTCTCTGTGTCACTTACTACTGCTCTAATCTTTATTGTTTTCTTCCTTCTGCTAATTTTGGTTTGGTTTGTTCTTGCTTGTCTAGTTCTTTGAGGTGAAATTTTAGGTTGTTTATTTCTAAATCTTTCTACTTTTAATGTATTTATTTATTGCTATAAACTTCTCTCTTTGTACTACTATTGCTATAACCCATAAGTTTCAGTATATTGTGTTTCCATTTTCACTTGTGTCAAGAAATTTTAAAAATTTATTATTAATTCATTTTTTGACCCAGTGCTCAGGAGCATGTTGTATAATTTCCATGTCTCTGTGCAGTTTACAAAGTTTCTCTTGTCGATTTCTACTTTTACTACATTTTGTGATTTGAATAGACTTGATATGCTCTCAGTTGTTAAAAATTTGTTGAGATTTGCTTTGTAACCTACCATATGGTCTATCTTGGAGAATGTTCCATATGCTGATGATAAAAATGTGTATTCTACAGCTGCTAGATGACATTTTCTACAAATGTATTTTAGGTCCATTTGGTCTAAAGTGCAGTTTAAATCCAATGTTTCTTCACAGATATTTTTGTCTAGATGTTGAAGTTCTCAACTGTTGTTTTAGTAGGATCTATCTCTCTTTTTAGCTCTAAGAATATTTACTTTATATATCTGGATGGTCTTGTGTTGAGTGAATATATATTTTATAGTTGTCATATCCTTTCACTGAATTGATCCCTTTGTCATTAAATAATGACCTTCTTGTCTCTTTTTTTCTGTTTTTGACAAATGGAATATGCACATTAGTCCCGCCTCCTATCTGCCATCTTTTTCAAGTGTATTTTGTGTGTTATCAAGATAGTAGGTATTTTTCTTTGCTTTCAGGTATAGTACTCAAGTGCTTCTTACAGGGGTGGTCTAGTGGTAATAAAAAATATGAAATGCTTTACAAATTTGCATGTCATCCACTCACAGGAACTATGCAAATCATCTCTTTATCATTTTAATTTTTAGTATATGTGCTGCCAAAGTGGTTTGTTTGCCTTAGTATCTTTTTCCTTCTTTTTAAGCTATTAGTATCTATAAATCTAAATGTGTAAAACTGAATACTGTATAAATGAGACATTTTAGGCATGTCTCATATAAACAGCATTTAGTTTTGGAATTTTTTCCAAAAACTTTTAACATAGTTATGGTATAATTTTGATGTAAGTCTATCATCTTACTACTTGTTTTCTACTTGTATCAGTAGATCTTTGTTACTCAAATGTAAATGTTCTTTCACTTTTTAAGATTCTTATGACAAATATCATTCACTCAAGAGTTGAGATCGAAGAACATATTGCTTGTTCTGAAGTCCAGTGAATAAAATCCCTTTCCTAGGTTATGTGATTAGAATGAGGTCCTCATTATTTATTGTCCTTAGCATATTGTGTTGAGATAAGGCTGATCCACAGCTATAATTATATTGAATTCAATTCCCTTTTACCTTGTAAATATTTGAGTTGGGAGTGAGCTGGCTGCACTTTCCAATATGGTGGTTGTTCTTTGGATTGATCACTTTTAGGACTAAAAAATCCAGTCATTTTGAAAATGCACAGGATCATGTTTTCAGATCCTCCTTTTCTACAGCTCTGTTGTAAAATTTGAGGGTATTGTTGGAGGAGAGAATTATTAGGCCAGCAATTTGTTTCATGCTGGTGTATTTTTTATACTACAGTTCAGTCACACGATCATTCAAGATAATTCTGACCTCTCCTATTTTCCATGAAATCTGATGCTATCCTTTCTCTTCCTAAAACAATTTTTTCCCTTGCCTTTGTTTACATTGTAATTTTCTGGTTTCTCCCTACCTACTGGCTGCTTAATTAGAATTTTAATTCTTTTTGCTTTCCCAGTTAAAATATAAAACTTGTAATCTGCTTTTGAAACTCACCATACTTGTTTTAGTAATCTCAGGACGTGGTGTGGTTTGGCTGTTTCCCCACCCAAATCTCATCTTGAATTGTAGTTCCCATAATCCCCATGTGTTGTGGGAGGGACATGGTGGGAGGTAATTGAATCTTGGGAGTGGCTATGCTGCTGTTCTTGTGATAGTGAGTGAGTGAGTCCTCATGAGACCTGATTTTTTAAAGGCGCTTTCCCCTCCTTGCTTGGCACTTCCATCATGTGAAGAAGGACATGTTTGCTTCCCTTTTGCAAACACTGAAGTTTCCTGAGGCCTCCTGGTCATACTGAACTGTGAATCAATTAAACCTCTTTCCTTTATAAATTATCTGGTCTTGGGCAGTTCTTTATAGCAGTATGTAAATGGATTAATACACTATCCAAAACATTAAATACCAAAAGATTTAAAAGATATGCCAGATATTTCTACTGAAACTACAAAACACGGCCAAAAATATTTTAAAGAAAATACAAATAAATACAAAGATATACAAGTTTATGTATCAGAAGATTTAATATTTATAGATACAGTTTTCCTCAAATTGACCTGTAAAGATTTTTGAGTTGGGGTCTCACTCTGTTGCTGAGGTTGGAGTGCAGTGGCATGATCATGACTCACTGCAGTCCTGTAATCCTGGGCTCAACAATCCTTTCCTGTATACATTACCCAGTCTCAGGTATGTCCTTATTAGCAGCATGAGAATAGACTAATGTAAGAGGGGTGCAACAAAATTCTTGCAGCGAAGGAATTCACTATACATTAATTTTCATTCCTCTCTCTTTCTCTGTGTATGTATTGTTTATCAACAGTAAACATTCATTAAGTTTATTTTCTGTGCTACTTGCTGGGAATACAAAGAGCCTTAAGATACCATCTCTGCCCTTAAGGAGCTTATAAATAAAATAAATAAGAATATTATTATAATTCTGAAGTAATTCTGAGAATGCTGCCCTTAGCCATGAATACAATTTTCTTCCTCCCTGAAGCTTTTATGCATTCTCCTTTTCACCTTCTATTTTTATTTTCTTGAAAATTTGTTTTAAGGACTTAGCTCTCTTCACATATGGGAATACGTGATAGGAGAGAGGTGAAAAAGAAATGAGGAGGAAAAGTAGGAGTGAAGAAAGAAGGGTCTCAAGGCAAATGGCTTTCTGCTTCTATACTACAAGTAACATAAATGCAATTAAGATTCTTTACAGTGGCTCACGCTGTAATAACAGTACTTTGGTAGGTCAAGGTGGGTGGATCTTCTGAGTTCAGCCTATTCAACAATGCAAAATCCTGTCTCTATTAAAAATACAAAATTTAGCTGTTCATGGTGGTGCATGCCTGTAATCCCGGCTACTTGGGAGGCTGAGGCAAAGAATCACTTGGATCCAAGAGGCTAGGGTTGCAGTGATCAGAGGTCATACCACTGCACTCCAGACTAGGTAACAGAGTGAGACTCCATTTCAACAAAAACAACAAAAAGAATAAAATTACAGTGTTTTAAGCTTTCTAAAGGGCTCTTAGAATTTCATCCAATTTTATGTTCACAACATTCCATTTTATTGTGGAAAAACTGAGTCAGGATATGTCTATGTGTTTACCAGACACCTCCATCCTTCAGCTTTTAAAACACATTTCTTTAACTTAATACATTATTAATTTGATCCTGGGAACAATCCTCTGAGTCCTTCGCTCATGAAACAGGGAGGAGGAGTAGAATCATACATGTTTGAAAGGCAGAAAAAAAATACCCTGCTCAGTTTGAATCCTTGTTTATTTACTTGCTAGCTGTGTGACTTCCATTTAACTTCCATGAGCCCATGTTTCTGTTACATGTGAATAACAGTTCCTCCTAGTAGAGTTTTGTGTCAAGCCTGTTATATTCTAAGTGTTGGTTCATTTTCTACTTCCACTGAATTGGATCAGTTCTTCCAAAGACAGAGATTTTTTTTCATGTAAAGTGGTACTTTTCCTAAACAAAGACAGTATTTTCCGTTCTGTAATTGACCTGCAGATTGGGTTGGCTGTACATTTAGGAAGGTGGATGCTAGCTACTTCTTGCTTTACTAGACTGGTGTGGCTGTGTTCCTTTTGTTCACCTGACACAAAGTCTTAGGGAACATGTTATCCTGTACAAAATTTATTTTTAAATAATACACTAAAACATTCCATATAGAATAAGCTCCTGAAAACAGAAAAAAAGGGACCTGAAATCTACTACTATATGGTGTATGCATAGCTGCACAATTTCTAATCTGGTACGAGTTCAAATGTAACAATTAGTGTCACACTTCACCCTATTCAGAGTAGTCTAAAGCTTATCTGCCACAGGCAATAATAATCAGGACTCAATAAAAGGTGTTGGAGCAGATGGAGGGACTGCAGTTTCCAATTAAACTCCTCTTTGTTAAGCTTTATATTCTCATGATTTATTGAACAGACTTCAGCTCTCCGTCACCTATACAACTGGTATTTGGGTTTAGCACTGCTCTGTACATTTGCTTACTTTCTAAGGTAGAAAAAGCCTCTGTGTAAATGGAGAATCTCATCTTTTTTGCTGAAATACTGCAGATGATGTTTTGTTTTGCAGCCAGAACAAAAAGAGGAAGAGAAAAAGACAATTAATATTTATTGAGCATTGAGAATATCTGGTAGGCATTTTTGGGTGAATCGACTCTTGAATAATTTGCTTCATTTAATCCTCATGATTATACTGTGAGGAAGAGGTTGTTTCTTATTTGGTCACCACTTTGTTGATGAGAAAACTGAAACTTGGAGTTTGAATCAGTAAGCAGATGTGAAAACACAAAAAGACTACCCATTCATAATATTGTATTGCCAAGGGAAAGATAAGAGAGATTTTATAAATGAGAGTGTAGAGAACTTTGTTAATAAGAACATCTTGTTTTATTAAAAGCAACAATGATATGTCTATGTATATGAGTCAAAAGAACTAATATTTTTAAAGCTCTAGGAGACTGTTTTACATGTGACTATTATTACCACGTGAAGTGTTTAACAAACGTGTGTGGACATCACACACATACCTATGTTAGGCACTGACAGCTTAGCGGTGGGAAACAGAGGCTACATGTCTGCTTTCCTAGAAAACTCAAATGCAGATGTTCATGAGATTTCAGTTAATGCTTACCCATTGTTCATTGAGAAAATGAGACTTCGGTTTACTTTATTAGTCTGAGGCCATTAACAAGGCAGAAAGGCTCCACTAGCATGGAAAGTACAAAGAATGCTTCAGAAGCAAGTGACAAAAAAGCTGATGTACCTCCCTAAATGAGTCCTGGAACCTGAAAAGGAATATGGGATGAAAGATAGAAAGGCCAGGTGTTTTCACTGTCTCATGAAGAAGAGCATGGTTTCAGAGCACTTAGGATTCTTCAGAAAGTAGAATTTCTTTCCGTGTTGCTGTATTTGCTCCTTCCAAATCGCTCTTCTCAGGCTTCTACCAAGGCAGCCCAGCTACTCAGTAAGTAACAGCTGATAACAAAATAGTTCTGTGTTCCTCATCAGCAAGGGGGAATTAACTGTCTTAAGCAGGGTATTTGATGTCACTCTACATACAAAGATTCAACAACTGTGTGTTGGGACATGAATCCTACTCATAGGGTAATTTGAGTTAAATCTGCAACAACTTTATAGTCAATCGCTTACATGCAACGTTAATGTCTTTTGTTTCCAGAATTAAAGAAATAGATTTCAAGGTACAGTGAAATATGTAGAACCCGTGATGTAAGGCAAGCATTTATAATTATAGAAATCAGTGTACAGTCTAACAAAATGATACAAATGCAAGCAGGAAAGGGGTAATAAACGAAAATAAAACCAGAGATTTTTTTCAGTATCTGTGGAAAAAATATAAAGAAACATTCAAAGCAGTATGAGACTGTTGAATTCATCTAATGAGTAGGAATGTCAAAATGGTTCAAATATCATAAAAATGATCAATGAGTTGGAAAAAAGGACTTCTCAGGGAAACTTTAATTATAAATATAACTAGGGAAGACCTTTGTTACCACATGACTCATAACACAGATTTGAATACCACAGAGTTATATGACTCCTCAAATGGAACTTTATAAG